TTATTTATAATTTTTAATAGTATATATTATAATTCATTTCTTCGAGTTAGTTTATTATGATATCTCTATAAAAAAATATATATAACATATTGAAAACATATGCATTTTTAATTAAATTTTATCTATCAAATATTAAGAAATAGTTAGGATGAAGCTTAAAAAATCAATCATGTATTAATAACCAAGTATAGATCCTCTTTGCCAAGTTGATTTATGCTATTGCTCACTTTCGCATCATTTTTCTTAGAGGATCTTATAAAACTATTTTAAACTAAATTATTTTAAAAACTAAACTGAATTAAATTATAAAAAAATGAACTATTTTTAAACGAAATTATATTTTAAGTTCAGTTTAAAAAGTTAAACTACTAAAATGTAGTTTAGTGCACTATAGTTATAAAAAAATTATTATAATAACTTTTGCATAATTGTTGTATTCATTTGTACAATTAATGATTTTTTTAATAAATAAGGCTATATATTTTTAAAATATTTAAATGTTATCCAATTATACATTAACATGAATAAAATGTTATCTTTTTAATAATTATTTGATAAATTATATTTATAATGATTTTTATGGATTTTATTGTATAAACAATGTGTTAAAATTAAACTTTCTTTTAAAACACATTTTCTATAAATCAAATTATTTAACATTTTAGAAAATTTTTACGATAAATTTAAATCATGTTTTCTTGTTTTAAATTATTTTATCTATGTAAGATTCATCTTTACTATTTTTTTTAAACATAAAGAGAAAAATGATATTTTTTAGGGGTCTCATGTTTTCCCTCTAAATATTTAACATAACTACATATTTATATATACTTAAACTCGAGAAAATTGATCAAGTTGAAACTAATTCCTTTCCAATTAATAGGATTATTCAAAAATTATTTCAAACTAAACTACAAGAAGATTAAATAGAACTAGACTATAAAAAAATACTCAATTGTATTTTTTTTATATAAAAATTAAATTGAAATTAAGTTTGGTTTTAAAAATAAAATTACTGTAAAAATCAATTTTATTCAATTCAAATCACAAGAAACAACTTGATTTAGAGTACAAAAATAGTTTAATTTAGTACAAAGTATAGTTTAAGTAGATGGAACATCAATTCTATAACTACTATTTATGTGAACTTAAACTATTTTACCTTAATTTTTAGTAAACGATTTTAGTTGATTTATCATTTAAAAGATTTTAGTTCTTCCATTGAAATAAAAAATAAATTTTTTATAATGTAGTTTAGTTAAATTTATAGTAAAAAAAAAAGAAATTTAGATTAGTTTGAATTATAGTATAATTCAAACTTTTAAAATTATAATTCACTAAATTAAGAAATAGTGTGATTTAATTTTTTTTGAATTATTTTATATAACCTACTTTTATATTTCAGTATAATTAATAGATAGTTTACTTCAACCTTTTTAAACACGTCTAATTTTCTCCTCCTACCTTCTTCAATGTTTTTGAGATTTGCCCATGTCCTGTCATAATTGTGGATTGCAAACCTTTCTTTTGTCCCTTTATATAAATTGACCAAGGAATGCAACACAATACTATTCTCCTTTTGCTTTTTGCCTACATAGTTAGACGATTCTTATGGATTGATGTATGACTTCTTACAATAATTACATTATGATAAATTCATCGATTTGAGTAGTAGTCACCAACCAAGTATTCTTTATTTTTCTAGTAATTTTTCGTGTGTCTCTAGGATTATATTTAAACGTTTAATCTAAAGATTAAGATAAATGTTCAAACTAAAAAAGAGTGTTAAGATATATTCACACATTTATTTATTTTTTCTACCATTTTAAATTATCTTTTACTAATAAAAATTAAGATAGATAATGGTATAATCACTCCAATTTAAGGTTATTAGTTTTGTTTAGATAAACTTTATAAAGGATTTTACTAACAGACTGCTTTAAGACATTTATAAATTCAAACTTAAAAAATGTGTTTGTTATTAATAAGACGCAACTTGGTGAGCCATTTTTGTTGACATTGTTTTGTGGATCTTTGAATTGGCATTTTAGACACCTATAAACTTGCAATTTCACCTTAAAATGTAGAGGGGAAAAAAAAAACCAGAAGTAACACGGAGTTGCTTTAGGTTTACTCATTTTCATTATCTATTTACGAACACAATTTATGAATGTAGAGTGAACAAATAAACAAAGAACTTTTTTTATTATTTATAATTTTTAATAGAAATTAATACTTATTTTTATTAAAAATGACACATTTTATTACATACATTTTTTTTACTTACATATGTTTTTAGTCACCATAATATACACATTTTATACTTTTAATCTTGTAAAATAATTATTGATTTGATCTCTATAAAATTTTATTTTATAGTTTTAGTCTCTTATACTATTTATTGATGATGTGATAAATATTTATTGGAAAAAATTAATGACTAAAATAGTAAAATAAGATTATAGGAATCTTATTAAAAATTAACATTTTATAAGGACTTAAAGTAATATCAAGAATTAAAATTAAAAAAAAATATTTTATAGATACCAAAACTAACTCAGAAAAATTATAGAAACTAAAAACATAAAACGAGTATATTATAGAAACTAAAAACATATTTAATTCATATTTTCTTCTCCCATAATTAATTAAATAAATATAGATAAAAAAATATTTCATATGAATAGGTGTTACACATAGATCATGATAAAAGAGAATAATTAGATATATATATATATATATATATATATATATATA